GAGTGTGTGTGTGTTGGTGAGTGGTGGTGAGTGTGGTGGTGAGTGTTCGTGTTGTTGGTGAGTGTGTTGGTGAGTGTGTTGGTGAGTGTGTGAGTGTGTGAGTGTGTTGGTGAGTGTGTTGGTGAGTGTGGTGGTGAGTGTGGTGGTGAGTGTGTTGGTGAGTGTGTTGGTGAGTGTGTGAGTGTGTTGGTGAGTGTGTTGGTGAGTGTGGTGGTGAGTGTTTGTGGTGATGGTGAGTGTGTGTGTGTTGGTGAGTGGTGGTGAGTGTGGTGGTGAGTGTTCGTGTTATTGGTGAGCGTGTTGGTGAGTGTGTTGGTGAGTGTGTGAGTGTGTTGGTGAGTGTGTTGGTGAGTGTGGTGGTGAGTGTGTTGGTGAGTGTTTATTGGTGAGTGTGGTGGTGAGTGTGTTGGTGAGTGTGTTGGTGAGTGTGTGAGTGTGTTGGTGAGTGTGGTGGTGAGTGTGGTGGTGAGTGTGTTGGTGAGTGTTTTGGTGAGTGTGGTGGTGAGTGTGTTGGTGAGTGTGTTGGTGAGTGTGTGAGTGTGTTGGTGAGTGTGTTGGTGAGTGTGTTGGTGAGTGCGTTGGTGAGTGTGGTGGTGAGTGTTTGTGGTGATGGTGAGCGTGTTGGTGTGTGTTTCTGGTGGTGGTAAGTGTGATGGTGAGTGTGTTGGTGAGTATGTGTGTTGGTGAGTGTGGTGGTGAGTGTTTGTGGTGATGGTGAGTGTGTGTGTGTTGGTGAGTGTGGTGGTGAGTGTGTGTGTCTTGGTGAGTGTGTTGGTGAGCGTGTTGGTGTGTGTTTGTGGTGATGGTGAGTGTGTGTGTGTTGGTGAGTGGTGGTGAGTGTGGTGGTGAGTGTTCGTGGTGTTGGTGAGTGTGTTGGTGAGTGTGTTGGTGAGTGTATGAGTGTGTTGGTGAGTGTGTTGGTGAGTGTGGTGGTGAGTGTGGTGGTGAGTGTGTTGGTGAGTGTGTTGGTGAGTGTGTGAGTGTGTTGGTGAGTGTGTTGGTGAGTGTGGTGGTGAGTGTTTGTGGTGATGGTGAGTGTGTGTGTGTTGGTGAGTGGTGGTGAGTGTGGTGGTGAGTGTTCGTGTTGTTGGTGAGTGTGTTGGTGAGTGTGTTGGTGAGTGTGTGAGTGTGTTGGTGAGTGTGTTGGTGAGTGTGGTGGTGAGTGTGGTGGTGAGTGTGTTGGTGAGTGTGTTGGTGAGTGTGTGAGTGTGGTGGTGAGTGTGTTGGTGAGTGTGTTGGTGAGTGCGTTGGTGAGTGTGGTGGTGAGTGTTTGTGGTGATGGTGAGCGTGTTGGTGTGTGTTTCTGGTGGTGGTAAGTGTGATGGTGAGTGTGTTGGTGAGTGTGTGTGTTGGTGAGTGTGGTGGTGAGTGTTTGTGGTGATGGTGAGTGTGTGTTGGTGAGTGTGGTGGTGAGTGTGTGTGTCTTGGTGAGTGTGTTGGTGAGCGTGTTGGTGTGTGTTTGTGGTGATGGTGAGTGTGTGTGTTGGTGAGTGGTGGTGAGTGTGGTGGTGAGTGTTCGTGGTGTTGGTGAGTGTGTTGGTGAGTGTGTTGGTTGAGTGTATGAGTGTGTTGGTGAGTGTGTTGGTGAGTGTGGTGGTGAGTGTGGTGGTGTGTTGGTGAGTGTGTTGGTGAGTGTGTGAGTGTGTTGGTGAGTGTGTTGGTGAGTGTGGTGGTGAGTGTTTGTGGTGATGGTGAGTGTGTGTGTGTTGGTGAGTGGTGGTGAGTGTGGTGGTGAGTGTTCGTGTTGTTGGTGAGTGTGTTGGTGAGTGTGTTGGTGAGTGTGTGAGTGTGTTGGTGAGTGTGTTGGTGAGTGTGGTGGTGAGTGTGGTGGTGAGTGTGTTGGTGAGTGTGTTGGTGAGTGTGTGAGTGTGTTGGTGAGTGTGTTGGTGAGTGTGGTGGTGAGTGTTTGTGGTGATGGTGAGTGTGTGTGTGTTGGTGAGTGGTGGTGAGTGTGGTGGTGAGTGTGTGAGTGTGTTGGTGAGTGTGTTGGTGAGTGTGGTGGTGAGTGTGGTGGTGAGTGTGTTGGTGAGTGTGTTGGTGAGTGTGTGAGTGTGATGGTGAGTGTGTTGGTGAGTGTTTTGGTGAGTGTGGTGGTGAGTGTGTTGGTGAGTGTGTTGGTGAGTGTGTGAGTGTGTTGGTGAGTGTGTTGGTGAGTGTGGTGGTGAGTGTGGTGGTGAGTGTGTTGGTGAGTGTTTTGGTGAGTGTGGTGGTGAGTGTGTTGGTGAGTGTGTGAGTGTGTTGGTGAGTGTGTTGGTGAGTGTGGTGGTGAGTGTGGTGGTGAGTGTTTGTGGTGATGGTGAGTGTGTGTGTGTTGGTGAGTGGTGGTGAGTGTGGTGGTGAGTGTTCGTGTTGTTGGTGAGTGTGTTGGTGAGTGTGTTGGTGAGTGTGTGAGTGTGTTGGTGAGTGTGTTGGTGAGTGTGGTGGTGAGTGTGGTGGTGAGTGTGTTGGTGAGTGTTTTGGTGAGTGTGTGAGTGTGTTGGTGAGTGTGTTGGTGAGTGTGTTGGTGAGTGCGTTGGTGAGTGTGGTGGTGAGTGTTTGTGGTGATGGTGAGCGTGTTGGTGTGTGTTTCTGGTGGTGGTAAGTGTGATGGTGAGTGTGTTGGTGAGTGTGTGTGTTGGTGAGTGTGGTGGTGAGTGTTTGTGGTGAGTGTGTGTGTCTTGGTGAGTGTGTTGGTGAGCGTGTTGGTGTGTGTTTGTGGTGATGGTGAGTGTGTGTGTGTTGGTGAGTGGTGGTGAGTGTGGTGGTGAGTGTTCGTGGTGTTGGTGAGTGTGTTGGTGAGTGTGTTGGTGAGTGTATGAGTGTGTTGGTGAGTGTGTTGGTGAGTGTGGTGGTGAGTGTGTTGGTGAGTGTGTTGGTGAGTGTGTGAGTGTGTTGGTGAGTGTGTTGGTGAGTGTGGTGGTGAGTGTTTGTGGTGATGGTGAGTGTGTGTGTGTTGGTGAGTGGTGGTGAGTGTGGTGGTGAGTGTTCGTGTTGTTGGTGAGTGTGTTGGTGAGTGTGTTGGTGAGTGTGTGAGTGTGTTGGTGAGTGTGGTGGTGAGTGTGGTGGTGAGTGTGTTGGTGAGTGTGTTGGTGAGTGTGTGAGTGTGTTGGTGAGTGTGTTGGTGAGTGTGGTGGTGAGTGTTTGTGGTGATGGTGAGTGTGTGTGTGTTGGTGAGTGGTGGTGAGTGTGGTGGTGAGTGTGTGAGTGTGTTGGTGAGTGTGTTGGTGAGTGTGGTGGTGAGTGTGGTGGTGAGTGTGTTGGTGAGTGTGTTGGTGAGTGTGTTGGTGAGTGTTTTGGTGAGTGTGGTGGTGAGTGTGTTGGTGAGTGTGTTGGTGAGTGTGTGAGTGTGTTGGTGAGTGTGTTGGTGAGTGTGGTGGTGAGTGTGGTGGTGAGTGTGTTGGTGAGTGTTTTGGTGAGTGTGGTGGTGAGTGTGTTGGTGAGTGTGTGAGTGTGTTGGTGAGTGTGTTGGTGAGTGTGGTGGTGAGTGTGGTGGTGAGTGTGTTGGTGTGTGTGTTGGTGAGCGTTTGTGGTGATAGTGAGCGTGTTGTTGAGTTTGTGTGTTGGTGAGTGTGTTGTGAGCGTGTTGGTGAGTGTGTTGGTGAGTGGGTGTGTGTTGGTGAGTGTGTTGGTGAGTGTGGTGGTGAGTGTGTTGGTGAGTGTGTTGGTGAGTGTGCGTGTTGGTGAGTGGGTTGGTGAGTGTGTTGGTGAGTGTTTGTGGTGGTGAGTGTTTGTGGTGATGGTGAGCGTGTTGGTGAGCGTGTTTCTGGTGGTGGTGAGTGTGGTGGTGAGTGTGTTGGTGAGCGTGTTGGTGTGTTTCTGGTGGTGGTGAGTGTGGTGGTGAGCGTGTTGGTGTGTGTGTTGGTGAGTGTTTGTATGTCTTGGTGAGTGTGTTGGTGAGTGTTTGTGGTGATGGTGAGCGTGTTGGTGAGTGTGATGGTGAGTGTGTTGGTGAGTGTTTGTGGTGGTGGTGAGTGTGTTGGTGAGTGTGTTGGTGAGTGTTTGTGGTGATGGTGAGTGTGTTGGTGAGCGTGTTGGTGAGTGTTGTGGTGATGGTGAGTGTGTTGGTGGGTGTGTTGGTGAGTGTTTGTGGTGATGGTGAGTGTGTTGTTGAGCGTGTTGGTGAGTGTTGTGGTGATGGTGAGTGTGTTGGTGAGTGTGTTGGTGAGTGTGTGAGCGTGTTGGTGAGCGTGGTAGTGAGTGTGGTGGTGAGTGTTTGTGGTGGTGGTGAGTGAGTGTGTTGGTGAGTGTGTGAGTGTGTTGGTGAGTGTGTGAGTGTGTTGGTGAGTGTGTGTGTGTGTGTTGGTGAGTGTGTTGGTGAGTGTTGGTGAGTGTGGTTGTGAGTGTGATGGTGAGTGTGTTGGTGAGCGTGGTGGTGAGTGTGTTGGTGAGTGTGTTGGTGAGTGTGTGAGTGTGTTGGTGAGTGTTTGTGTGTGTTGGTGAGTGTGTGTGTGTTGGTGAGTGTGTTGGTGTGTGTGTTGGTGAGTGTGTTGGTGAGTGTTGGTGAGTGTGGTGGTGAGTGTTTGTGGTGATGGTGAGCGTGTTGGTGAGTGTTTGTGGTGATGGTGAGCGTGTTGGTGAGTGTGTTGGTGAGTGTGTGAGTGTGTTGGTGAGTGTGTGTGTGTGTTGGTGAGTGTGTTGGTGAGTGTGGTGGTGAGTGTGTGTGTTGGTGAGTGTTGGTGAGTGTGGTGGTGAGTGTTTGTGGTGATGGTGAGCGTGGTGGTGAGTGTTTGCGGTGATGGTGAGTGTGTTGGTGAGTGTGTTGGTGAGTGTTAGTGAGCGTGGTGGTGAGTGTTGGTGAGTGTGGTGGTGATTGTGTGAGTGTGTTGGTGAGTGTGTGTGTGTGTTGGTGAGTGTGTTGGTGAGTGTGGTGGTGAGTGTGTGAGTGTGTTGGTGTGTGTGTTGGTGAGTGTGTTGGTGAGTGTGTGTGTTGGTGAGTGTGTTGGTGAGTGTTGATGAGTGTCTGAGTGTGTTGGTGAGTGTTGGTGAGTGTGGTGTTGAGTGTTTGTGGTGATGGTGAGCAGGTCTTGCTTCGACGAGCTGCAGAGTGATCACGTGGTGCTGTGGCTGGTCCTCGATTATTTGTCGGACCTCATCTACCTGGGAGATACATTCGTGCGGTTCCGTACAGGTGAGCGGTATACTCACCACACGATACTCACCACACGATACTCACCCAGTCACTCTCCACACGATACTCACCACACGATACTCACCACACGATACTCACCACACGATACTCACCCACTCACTCTCCACACGATACTCACCACACGATACTCACCACACGATACTCACCCACTCACTCTCCACACGATACTCACCACACGATACTCACCACACGATATTCACCACACGATACTCACCACACCATACTCACCACACCATACTCACTACACGATACTCACCACACGATACTCACCACACGATACTCACCACACCATACTCACCACACGATACTCACCACACGATGCTCACCACACGATACTCACCACACGATACTCAACACACGATACTCAACACACGATACTCACCACACGATACTCAACCAACACTCACCCACTCACTCACCCAGTCACCCACTCACTCACTCATTCACTCACCCACTCACCCACCCACCCATCCACTCACTCACTCACTCACCCACCCACCCACTCACCCACTCACCCACCCACCCACCCATTCACCCACTCACCCACCCACCCATCCACTCACTCACTCACTCACCCACTCACTCACTCACTCACCCACTCACTCACCGAATCACCCACTCACTCACTCACCCACTCACTCACTCACCCACTCACTCACCAACTCACTCACCACACGATACTCACCACACGATACTCACCACACGATACTCACCACACGATACTCACCCAACACTCACCCACTCACCCACCCACCCACTCACTCACCCACTTACCCACTCACTCACTCACCCACTCACTCACTCACCCACTTACTCATCCACTCACTCACTCACCCACTCACTCACCCACTCACCCACTCACTCACTCACCACACGATACTCACCACACGATACTCACCCAACACTCACCCACTCACGCATTCACCCACCCACTCACTCACTCACCCACTTATCCTCCCACTGACTCACCTGCTCACTCACCCATTCACAAACTCACTCAACCTTCCACCCACCCACTCACCCATCCACTCACCCACTCACTCACCCACTCATTCACTCACCCACTCACTCACTCACCCACCCGCCCATCCACTCACCCACCCACCCACCCACTCACCCACTCACCCACCCACCCACCCATTCACCCACTCACCCACCCATCCACTCACTCTCTCAATCACCCACTCACTCACTCACCCACCCACTTACTCACTCACTCACTCACCCACTCACTCACTCACTCACCCACTCACTCACTCACTCACCCACTCACTCACTCACCCACTCACTCACTCACTCCACGATACTCACCACACGATGCTCACCCAACACTCACTCACTCACACACTCACTCACTCACCACACGATACTCACCATACGATACTTACCCAACACTCACCCACCCACTCACTCACTCACCCACTCACTCACCCACTCACTCACTCACTCACCCACTCACTCACTCACCCACTCACCCACTCACTCACTCACCCACTCACCCACTCACCCACTCACTCTTCCACCCACTCCCTCACCCACCCACCCACCCACTCATTCACCCACTCACCCATCCACTCACTCACCCACTCACTCACCACACGATACTCACCACACGATACTCACCCACTCACCCATCCACTCACTCACTCACCCCCCCACTAACCCCCCCACCAACCCCCCCACCCCCCCACCAACCCCCCCACCCCCCCACCAACCCCCCCACCAGGCTTCCTAGAGCAAGGCCTTCTCGTGCGAGACTCCGTGAAGCTACGCGCGCTACACGCGCACGCTCCAGTTCAAGCTCGACGTGCTGTCGCTCCTCCCCACCCACCCACTAACCCCCCCACCAACCCCCCCACTAACCCCCCCACTACCCCCCCACCCACTCACCCACTCACTGATTCACTCAGCCACTCATTCATTCACTCACCCACTCACTCATTCACTCAGCCACCCACTCATTCACTCTCTCACCTACCCCCCCACCTGCCCCCCACCTACCCCCCCACCAACCCCCCCACCAGGCTTCCTAGAGCAAGGCCTGCTGGTGCGAGACTCCGTGAAGCTACGTGCGCGCTACACGCGCACGCTCCAGTTCAAGCTCGACGTGCTGTCGCTCCTCCCCACCCACCCACCAACCCTCCACTAACCCCCCCACCCACTCACCCACTCACCCCCTCACTGATTCACTCAGCCACCCACTCACCCACTCACTGATTCACTCAGCCACCCACTCATTCACTCAGCCACCCACTCACTCACTCACTCATCCACCCACTCACTCTCTCAGCCACCCCCCCACCAACCCCCCACCCCCCCACTAACCCCCCACTCACTCACCCCCCCCACCTACCCCCCCACCAACCCCCCCACCAGGCTTCCTAGAGCAAGGCCTTCTCGTGCGAGACTCCGTGAAGCTACGTGCGCGCTACACACGCACGCTCCAGTTCAAGCTCGACGTGCTGTCGCTCCTCCCGACGGACGCCGCCTACCTCGCCCTGGGCCTGAGCCACCCGGAGGTGCGCCTCAACCGCCTGCTGCGATTCGCGCGCATGTTCGAGTTCTTCGACCGCACGGAGACGCGGACGGGCTACCCGAACGTATTCCGCATCGCGAACCTGGTGCTCTACATCGTGGTGATCATCCACTGGAACGCGTGCGTGTACTTCGCCATCTCGAGGGCCGTGGGGTTCGGCTCCGACACCTGGGTCTACCCGAACGCGTCCGACCCCGAGAACGGGCGCCTCGCCCGCAAGTACATCTACAGCCTCTACTGGTCGACGCTGACGCTGACGACCATCGGCGAGACCCCTCCGCCCGTGCGGGACGCCGAGTACGCTTTCGTGGTGGTCGACTTCCTCGTCGGAGTGCTCATCTTCGCCACGATCGTGGGAAACGTGGGCGCCATGATCTCCAACATGAACGCGTCGCGAGCTGACTTTCAGGTGGGGTGGGTGGTGTGGGGGGTGGGGTGGGGGGGGGTGGTGGTGGGTGGTGTTAACACTCACACACAAACTCGTTCACTCATTCACTCATTCACTCACTCATTCACTCAATCACTCAGTCACTCACTCATTCACTCACTCACTCAGTCAGTCACTCACTCACCCACTCACCCACTCACTCACCCACTCACCCACTCACTCACCCACTCACCCACTCACTCACTCACTCACCCACTCACTCACTCACCCACTCACTCACTCACTCACCCACTCACTTACTCACCCACACACTCATTCACTCACTCAGTCACCCACTCACTCACTCACTCACCCACTCACTCACTCACTCACCCACTCACTCACTCACTCACCCACACACTCATTCACTCACTCAGTCACCCACTCCTTCACTCACCCACTCACTCACCCACCTACTCATTCACTCACCCACTCACTCATTCACTCAGTCACTCAGTCACTCACTCGCTCACTGATTCACTCAGCCACCCACTCACCCACCCACCCACTCATTCACTCACCCACTCACTCACTCACTCACCCACTCACTCACCCACCCACCCACCCACTCACTCATTCACTCACTCACCCACCCACTCACTCACTCACCCACCCACTCACTCACCCACTCACTCACTCACCCACCCACCCACCCACTCACTCACTCACCCACTCACTCACCCACTCACTCATTCACTCACTCACTCACTCAGTCACTCACCCACTCACTCACCCACTCACTCACTAACTCACCCACTCACTCACACACTCACCAACCCCCCCACCAACCCCCCCCACTCACCCCCCACCACCACCCCCCCACTAACCCCCCCCCCCCACTAACACCCCCCCACCACCAGGCGAGGGTTGACGCCGTGAAGCAGTACATGCAGCTGCGTGGCGTCACAAAGGAGCTGGAGGCACGCGTCATCACCCCCCCCCCCCACTAACCCCCCCCACCACCACCCCCCCCACTAACACCCCCCCACTAACACCCCCCCACTAACACCCCCCCACTAACACCCCCCCACCACCAGGCGAGGGTTGACGCCGTGAAGCAGTACATGCAGCTGCGTGGCGTCACAAAGGAGCTGGAGGCACGCGTCATCACCCCCCCCCCCACTAACACCCCCCCCCCCCACTAACACCCCCCCACTAACACCCCCCCCCCCCACTAACACCCCCCCACCACCAGGCGAGGGTTGACGCCGTGAAGCAGTACATGCAGCTGCGTGGCGTCACAAAGGAGCTGGAGGCACGCGTCATCAAGTGGTTCGACTACCTGTGGAGTAACAAGAAGGCCGTGGAGGAGCGAGAGGTGCTCAGGAACCTCCCAGACAAGCTCAGGGCGGAGATCGCCATCAACGTGCACCTCGACACGCTCAAGAAGGTGGGGGGGTGGTGGGGGGGTGGGGGGGTGGTGGGGGGTGGTGGTGGGAGTGGTGGTGGGGGAGTGGTGGTGGGCGGAGTGGTGGTGGGGGAGTGGTGGGGGGGGAGTGGAGCGCGCGTTCGTTCATTCACACGCTCACTCACTCACTCACCCACCCACTCACTTACCCACTCACTCACCCACCCACTCACCCACTCGCTCACTCACTCACTCACACACTCACTCACACACTCACTCACACACTCACTCACTCACACACTCACTCACCCACCCACCCACTCACTCACCCACTCACTCACCCACTCACCAACTCACCCACCCACTCACTCACCCACCAACTCACCCACCCACTCACCCACCCACTCACCCACTCACTCACCCACACACTCACCCACACACTCACTCGCTCACTCACTCACCCACTCACCCACCCACTCACCCACACACCCACCCACACACACACTCACACGTCACTCCATCTCTTCTCTAGCCCCGTGCCGCGCCCGTTTAGCCCCCTCGATCCGGCCGAACAAAAGCTGTTTCGGCACGCGGTGGCCGGGCACGCGGTGGCCGGGCACGCGGTAGGCCGGGCACGTGGTGGCCGGGCACGTGGTGGCCGGGCACGCCGTGGCCGGGCACGCCGTGGCCGGGCACGCCGTGGCCGGGCACGCCGTGGCCGGGCATGCCGGCTACGTGACCCAGCCATCGCAGCCTTGCCCGCCCGGAGGAGCTCACCGAATTAGGTGAAATTAGCTAACTAGCTAAACTAGTTCACCAGTTGGGTAGCTTGTGTTCACGTGACACCAACCCTCTACGTATTGAAACTAGTTAGCAAACTAGTTAACTTAACTAGTGAACTAACCGTCACGTTCTGTTCACGTGACGCACTTTAACTTCGTTAGGCGTGGTGGTAGTGGTGGTGGTGGTGGAGTTAGCGACACGTTAATATGTTTATATCGACGAAAGGAACTCAGATCATGATGATGATGATGATATTCATATTCTTAGTTCTTTCGGTAAAGTCACCACGTTGAAGGGAAACAATAAAATAATAAAATATATAGAAAACAATTTAATTTACCTCACGCAACTTTTATTCTTAGCTCTTTCGGTAAAGTCACGTTGAAGGGAAACAATAAAATAATAAAATATATATGAAACAATTTTATTTACCTCACGCAACTTATATTCTTAGCTCTTTCGGCAAAGTCACGTTGAAGGGAAACAATAAAATAGTAAAATATATAAAACAATTTTATTTACCTCACGCAACTTATAATCTTAGCTCTTTCGGTAAAGTCACGTTGAAGGGAAACAATAAAATAATAAAATATATATAAAACAATTTTATTTACCTCACGCAACTTATATTCTTAGCTCTTTCGGTAAAGTCACGTTGAAGGGAAACAATAAAATAATAAAATATATATAAAACAATTTTATTTACCTCACGCAACTTATATTCTTAGCTCTTTCGGTAAAGTCACGTTGAAGGGAAACAATAAAATAATAAAATATAAAACAATTTTATTTACCTCATGCAACTTATATTCTTAGCTCTTTCGGTAAAGTCACGTTGAAGGGAAACAATAATATAGTAAAATACATATAAAACAATTTTATTTACCTCACGCAACTTTTATTCTTAGCTCTTTCGGTAAAGTCACCACGTTGAAGGGAAACAATAAAATAATGAAATATATATAACAATTTTATTTACCTCACGCAACTTATATTCTTAGCTCTTTCGGTAGTCACCACGTTGAAGGGAAACAATAAAATAATAAAATATATATAAAACAATTTTATTTACCTCACGCAACTTATATACTTAGCTCCTTCGGTAAAGTCACGTTGAAGGGAAACAATAAAATAATAAAATATAAAACAATTTTATTTACCTCACGCAACTTATATTCTTAGCTCTTTCGGTAAAGTCACGTTGAAAGGAAACAGTAAAATAATAAAATATATATAAAACAATTTTATTTACCTCACGCAACTTATATACTTAGCTCCTTCGGTAAAGTCACGTTGAAGGGAAACAATAAAATAATAAAATATATAAAACAATTGTATTTACCTCACGCAACTTATATTCTTAGCTCTTTCGGCAAAGTCACGTTGAAGGGAAACAATAAAATAATAAAATATATATAAAACAATTTTATTTACCTCACGCAACTTATATCTTAGCTCTTTCGGTAAAGTCACGTTGAAGGGAAACAATAAAATAATAAAATATATAAAACAATTTTATTTACCTCACGCAACTTATATTCTTAGCTCCTTTCGGTAAAGTCACGTTGAAGGGAAACAATAAAATAATAAAATATATATAAAACAATTTTATTTACCTTACGCAACTTTTATTCTTAGCTCTTTCGGTAAAGTCACGTTGAAGGGAAACAATAAAATAATAAAATATATAAAACAATTTTATTTACCTCACGCAACTTATATTCTAAGCTCTTTCGGTAAAGTCACCACGTTGAAGGGAAACAATAAAATAATAAAATATATATAAAACAATTTTATTTACCTCACGCAACTTTTATTCTTAGCTCTTTCGGTAAAGTCACGTTGAAGGGAAACAATAAAATAATAAAATATATATAAAACAATTTTAATTACCTCACGCAACTTTTATTCTTAGCTCTTTCGGTAAAGTCACGTTGAAGGGAAACAATAACATAATAAAATATATAAATCAATTTTATTTACCTCACACAACTTATATTCTTATCTCTTTCGGTAAAGTCACGTTGAAGGGAAACAATAAAATAAAATATATATAAAACAATTTTATTTACCTCACGCAACTTTTATTCTTACCTTTTTCGGTAAAGTCACCACGTTGAAGGGAAACAATAACATAATAAAATATATATAAAACAATTTTATTTACCTCACGCAACTTTTATTCTTAGCTCTTTCGGTAAAGTCACCACGTTGAAGGGAAACAATAAAATAATAAAATATATATAACAATTTTATTTACCTCACGCAACTTTTATTCTTAGCTTCTTTCGGCAAGGTCACGTTGAAGGGAAACAATAAAATAATAAAATATATATAAAACTATTTTATTTACCTTACGCAACTTTTATTCTTAGCTCTTTCGGTAAAGTCACGTTGAAGGGAAACAATAAAATAATAAAATATATAAAACAATTTTATTTACCTCACACAACTTATATTCTTAGCTCTTTCGGTAAAGTCACCACGTTGAAGGGAAACAATAAAATAATAAAATATATAAAACAATTTTATTTACCTCACGCAACTTTTATTCTTAGCTCTTTCGGTAAAGTCACCACGTTGAAGGGAAACAATAAAATAATAAAATATATAAAACAATTTTATTTACCTCACACAACTTATATTCTAAGCTCTTTCGGTAAAGTCACCACGTTGAAGGGAAACAATAAAATAATAAAATATATAAAACAATTTTATTTACCTCACGCAACTTTTATTCTTAGCTCTTTCGGTAAAGTCACCACGTTGAAGGGAAACAATAAAATAATAAAATATATAAAACAATTTTATTTACCTCACGCAACTTTATTCTTAGCTCTTTCGGTAAAGTCACCACGTTGAAGGGAAACAATAAAATAATAAAAAATATATAAAACAATTTTATTTACCTCACGCAACTTATATTCTTAGCTCTTTCGGTAAAGTCACGTTGAAGGGAAACAATAAAATAATAAAATATATATAACAATTTTATTTACCTCACGCAACTTATAATCTTAGCTCTTTCGGTAAAGTCACCACGTTGAAGGGAAACAATAAAATAATAAAATATATATGAAACAATTTTTTTTACCTCACGCAACTTTTATTCTTAGCTCTTTCGGTAAAGTCACCACGTTGAAGGGAAACAATAAAATAATAAAATATATAAAACAATTTTATTTACCTCACGCAACTTATATTCTTAGCTCTTTCGGTAAAGTCACCACGTTGAAGGAAAACAATAAAATAATAAAATATATAAAACAATTTTATTTACCTCACGCAACTTATATTCTTAGCTCTTTCGGTAAAGTCACGTTGAAGGGAAACAATAACATAATAAAATATATAAAACAATTTTATTTACCTCACGCAACTTTTATTCTTAGCTCTTTCGGTAAAGTCACCACGTTGAAGGGAAACAATAACATAATAAAATATATAAAACAATTTTATTTACCTCACGCAACTTTTATTCTTAGCTCTTTCGGTAAAGTCACCACGTTGAAGGGAAACAATAAAATAATAAAATATATAAAACAATTGTATTTACCTCACGCAACTTTATTCTTAGCTCTTTCGGTAAAGTCACCACGTTGAAGGGAAACAATAAAATAATAAAATATATATAAAACAATTTTATTTACCTCACGCAACTTATAATCTTAGCTCTTTCGGTAAAGTCACGTTGAAGGGAAACAATAAAATAATAAAATATATATAACAATTTTATTTACCTCACGCAACTTATATTCTTAGCTCTTTCGGTAAAGTCACGTTGAAGGGAAACAATAAAATAATAAAATATATAAAACAATTTTATTTACCTCACGCAACTTTTATTCTTAGCTCTTTCGGTAAAGTCACGTTGAAGGGAAACAATAAAATAATAAAATACATATAAAACAATTTTATTTACCTCACGCAACTTTTATTCTTAGCTCTTTCGGTAAAGTCACGTTGAAGGGAAACAATAAAATAATAAAATATAAAACAATTTTATTTACCTCACGCAACTTTTATTCTTAGCTCTTTCGGTAAAGTCACGTTGAAGGGAAACAATAAAATAATAAAATATAAAACAATTTTATTTACCTCACGCAACTTATATTCTAAGCTCTTTCGGTAAAGTCACGTTGAAGGGAAACAATAAAATAATAATATATATATAAAACAATTGTATTTACCTCACGCAACTTATATTCTTAGCTCTTTCGGCAAAGTCACGTTGAAGGGAAACAATAAAATAATAAAAT